GACCTTCCCTGGTCCTTGCACGGGCTGGCCACCCGGGACCCGGGCCGCCCGGCTGGTAGCCTAGGATTTTTCTGATTTTTTTTAATTTTTTTTTTTATTATTTTTTTTTTGTTGGGTCCGCGTTTGGCCCGAAAGCATCCCCAAGGGGTCCCATATGTTCGGGCGTTCGGCCCATCCCGAACGCCAGTAACTAAGAGTCGGAAGGCGTGAAGCGAAGCTGTTTATCAGCTTCCCTTCCCGAGCCCACAAACAAGGCTAAGGTTCTGGGGGCCGAGCTGCATATGACGGGAAACTGTCACATGTGGTTCTGAGGGCAGGCGTTCTGCACTGACCCCTATCCTACATCATGATATCTTTTTTTTCTTGATGGTGATTCTGATCTCGTTGTATATATATATACGTTAAGAAAGGGTGGTAGTAGGGAAATATATGTATATATAATATATATATTATAATTATGTATATTATATATATTATATATTTTATATATATATATGATTCGGTTGAAATCTGCAATTATTATTATATTAATAAATTATAGTATTGAATTGTTTTAAATTTTTAATAGAGGAACAGTAACCATTACTACAGTACAGGAGATTAGGGTTTCGAAGTAATTTACTAATTTGAAAATTTGACTTTTTTTTTTTTTTAGTTAACATTTACGTTTGTAAATTCTGCTCTCAAATCGTTCATCATCTTTCAATTCACCTTCACTACCTTTCTGCCTCCCACTTTCCTACGGCTTCTACAGGGCACCCCTGCAAATATATAGCCTTGTTGTCCCCCTCCTGCCATCAGAAAGGGTAATGTTTCATCATTACATAAATAACAAAAAAAAATCAAAACACATATACAGAGGGAAAGAAATTCTATGAAATATTTGATGGGAGCTGGCTTGCATCTAATCAGCGAAAGAATCTGTGGCAGGAGCTGCTGAAAAATCTACAGCGCGGCTGAGCGAGGAGCTGCTGAAGAATCTACATTGCCCACTCCCATTATCATAAAATAGTTATTCCGATCGAGCACAATAATGGATCCACCGCGACGCTCGGCTACAAACGAACGCCAACCACCGTCCTATTCGATGTTTGACAGAGAGGTCACCCATGATATAAACTCGAGGCCACGCTGCAATTCAAATCCACAGACCGTCGATGTCTTACCCCACTCTTACCCCGCCCAGTGCCGTCCTCTGAAGTTATTGCAGCCGTAAAATCAAAGCAGCTAGCAGCTGCCCTCGTTTAACAAGGCAGGTGGCGCTTTTGCCCGAGCGTAACCCTCCTCTATCGTTCACACCTGGCCATAAACGCGAGTTTTCAGCAACAGGCTACTTGTCCTCTACCGCCCCTGCCACCCGTTCCGCTGGTCATTGTACGCCATAAGCCTTTCCACCGTCCACTAGCCAGCTCCACGGCGCATATCACTATGGACAGGCCGCTGGAAACAGAATATCACCCCTCTTTGTTGGCCAAATTGACCAGATACAGCTTCTGGCAAATGCTGTAACAGGCACGCAGGGGCCCACGTAGGGTAACCGGCGATTTCCTGTTGTTGAGTAAAGATGCGTTAATATTGCAAAGGCTACCCAACCTACTAAATTTTTGAGTGAAATAGCATTTGGCAGAGGTTATGCTGAGCGAAAATTGGACCATGTCTGATTGACATCGTGGATCTTGCGCAGGTCCGTCAACAAAAAGGAGCTGGATTTGCCAAAAAGGAAGACGACGTTTCCATGAAAAAAAGACAGAGAGAACAGTGCTTCACGAAATCCGATGAAGAGTCAGATAATGGCCTGCTCGTGCAACCGCTTTCATCATTGGAATAAATTACCATGCGTGTGACGACAACGCATTTTTTGTTTTTTTTTTGGGTCATCTCAGCGGTGACACAAATTCATTGTCGTATTGTTACCTTCTGTCGTCTTGTTTGAAGTCCTTCACAATCGATCTCTGCTTTGTATTTGCTTCAGTCCATGGATGTACCAGCAGTGTCGCAAATTCATTCTCTCGTCTATAGAAAGCCATTGAAGACGTTCAGATGCTCCTCTCCTAACATCTCTTCTCCCGACTTCTCCACCAGCCCGGGGGCTTCATGTATTGTCCACTTCTCCCACTCTCCTCCGTTGGTGTTGACCTCCCTGTGCTCCGCCACATGTCCACACAGACACCGACTGCCCCAACTATGAGCACTCATCCCTCACTCTCTGGCACATTCTACGGTACAAACTTTCTCATCATTTGCGTTGAAGGAAACTTTCTACGCCTCAACTCTGCTCGCGGCGCAAAGTTCTACTGGAGCAAATGCCTGGGGACGGCAGCCAAACGAAGATCCACAGTGGTTAGCTCTGAAATGGCACGCTGGGAGAACGCCTTTGCCACTAGTGCGTGAGTCCAATCCATGAAGCCTCACTTTCGGCGCTCACCAAGGGAAAGGTCAGACACACGGCCGGTTTAATAAAACACACTTCGTGGACTTCGTGATCCCTCTTCTCCAGCTGACATGGCAAAATTCCTTCCATCCCATTGATGAAGACTCGCTTTCGAGGCTCAGCAAAGGTAACAGATAAGAAGAATTAGGTGTGCAATCACAGGTGCATGACTGGTTACGACCGGTCGCTTGCTCCCTCCTTTCCCCCCTTCTCCTTCCTCCATTATGTAATCAATCGCTTATCTGCCTATGCATTCAAAATATACATGTAGAATATGTAACTGTGAATCTAAGTTATGTATCCATACTAAACCATTATGTAATCAATCGCTTATCTGCCTCTGCATTCAAAATATACATGTAGAATATGTATCTATGAATCTAAGTTATGTATCCCTACTAAATTGGTACCGTCAGGGTTGTCGAGCCCCGGCCCCGGGGCCCCGGGGGCCGGGGGTCGGCACCCCTGGCCCCGGCAAAAAAAAAAAAAAAAAAAAAAAAAAAAAAAAAAAAAAAAGAAAAAAAGAAAGGAGGAAGGATGGCGATCTTACCACTGTCACTGCCATGTGTTGTATTTTGTTTTGAGCGTCTGCGTTGTTTGGCATCAGGCATTTCTTGAAATACAGTATCGGTTCTTCCGGTGGGCGTTTCAACGCAAGTTGTGGAACCAACAGGCTTTGGCAGTGTACCGGTTAAAGCACCATGTGGAATTCGCAGAGCATATTGCGATTGTCCCATATAGGTAGGTGATTCTTCGCCGGCCGTGACCTTGATTTCCTCTTCTTCTATGCGGTCTGCTCTCCTACAGGGATTTTCACTGTCATCGTCTTTTCCCCATTTCTTCTTTTTTTGCTTGGGGGAGCAAGCATCAGTGGCCCAAAAAGACAAAATTTAAAGAAGAATGGCAATCTGCAGGTTTCTGAATGTGACAGCTTGTAGAAGAAAGACGGTTGGTGCAGGTCAGGTTTCTGAGTGTGACAGCTTATAGAAGAATGACGGTTGGTGCAGGTTTCCTCTGATCAACCCTGAACCTCCTTTCTTTAAATCAGGAGTCCCTCCAGGCCTCTTTTTCCCAATCCAGGTTGTTGCTGCTCACCGAAAAAGCAAGGAGCAGCATGATGTATTTTGCGTCTGCCTGCCGCCGCCTGCGCAGCGGAACAAAGATTTAGGAAAGAGAACGGTGTTCCAAAAACTGCGCCCTTCTTGACTGTTTGCTCCGTGGCGCCCCCTGCTTCTCCTCGCACGCTTCTTGACCCCCACCACTCCCGGACTACCGTCCCTTATTGACTGCCGCATGTCCTCAACTCCCCTCCCTTCTTGAATCCCTCTCCTCGACCCCCTCCTTTGCCTCCTCCCTCTTTGAGCCCCCTGTCTCGGACTCGCCCTCTTTGATCATGTATCCCTCGACGCTCTCCCTACTTCGCCTCCTATCTTCTCTTCGTAGGCTTCCTTGGCTGCAGGTGACACTGGAGATCATCGGGTGTAAGGCTGAGTACGTTCTGGCGGCCAGACCCCTCCTTGGCCTCGTCCCTCATTTGATCCCCCGTCTCGGAATGTCCCTCTTTGATAATGTATCCATCGACGCCCTCCCTACTTGGCCTCCCATCCCCTTTCCGTAGGCTAGGCTCCCTTGGCTGCCGGTGACACTAGAGATGGGGTGTCAGGGTCATGTTCTAGCGGCAGTATATGTATGTTCTTGCTCAGTCCACGCTATGGCTTATGACCAACCCTGCTGCATGACACCAGCGAGGCCTGAGTGCAAACTGCATGTGTTAATGATGCATGTCGCCTTGGTTCTTGCCGTCTGAGGTACTGACTGATGCCCTGTCTAAACGAGGCAGCAGGCTTTTCTCAGCGAAGGAAGTATCAACACGGGTTGGTTGACAGATGACATTCTTCTTGTGTGAGTCGGAGTCTGTCGGACTAATTGTCCACTATTTGTCTGTGTATAATGGGTGGCATGCAGGTTGTTGAATGTTCCTTGCTGCCATGAGCATAACTACTATCAGCGAGGGGATTTCATTGCTCATTTTGCAGGAGGCAATAATCGGGAAAAGTATGACGATCTATCCATAATGATGTTACGAGACAAGAGTTAAACTTCTTTCCTCGAGAATAATCTGGAAAAAGTAGTACTTTTCGCTGCAACGACAATCCTGTTCACATTCCGCTGTCGAGTCCCCGAGGAAACTGTTTTTTTTTTTTTACTACAAGCGTGCATGCGCTTCTATCTGAGAAAGTTCAGTCAGCAGCTAGCGGTATGGAGAACTGCTATTGTGGGTACTACGGAAGTATCAAAAGAAAGATGCACAAGATTGAAGCTGTGTAAACGTGTACGTGTTCCTGCCTCTGTTCGATCTCTTGCTCAACCCGCCCCCACCCTTTCCTGTTCGCCCACACATGAACCCATGTGTGCACTTGTCCCTTTTTTTTTGTCTGTGCACGTGCGCAGGGAGTTATCCTTTCGCAGAATTGTTGCAGTTTGTACTGGTTGGAGTAGAGCTGTTAGTTGTGTGGAGTGAATGTAGTAGTAGGCTCACTGACGGAGGACGGCTACTGACAGTGGACTGCTTTTGGTTGGGAAGCATAGAGATCACCGAGGAGAGACTAATGAGGTTTGTAACTGGTCTGTTCTGAAGCGATATTCCTTCTTCGTGTTCGAGGCGTTGAGGAATGGTAGATCTCGAGTGGGTCCTGGCATGAAGGGAGATATTCCCGGTTCATGTTGAAGGAGTAAGGACAAAAAATGTAGACGGAGTGGGTCGTGCGCTGTAAACAGTGAGTAGGTAGCATCAATCAGGGTTGTCGAAAGTTGTCATGTCACAATGCGGCAGCTTGTCCTGTCTCGCTGCGGCAGCTTGTCTTGTCGCGATGCGGCAGTTTGTCCAGGAAATCATGCGGCAGCATAGGAAGGGTGTAGCTAAGCTGTTGGATGCCTGCATTCTTTTCACTTATAAATGGTGACCGTTGGAGCAGTTGGTACACCCTCAAAGATATGGTGGAGTGCCATTCTTCATTGCAGAATATATGATGACAAAAGAGAAGGTTATGGTTTATTCCAGGAGCTAGCTCGTGTGAATATGGTGGAGTGCCATTCTTCATTGCAGAATATATGATGACAAAAGAGAAAGTTACGGTTATTCCAGGAGCTAGCTCCTGTGAATTTTCTTATTATGATATCATTCCTCTTGCAAGATGTTGAGGGTCAGTTTGCTGTGGTTTCCGATGAGGTGGCTCATTGAATTAGAGATGGGCTGTGCCTGGAAGAAGTCATGGACGGGTCCGTTGTCATGAATAAATAGTCTCTGGATAAGAGGAAGAGGAGAGGATAGTGTCTGTTGGATGTTATACTCTTGTGGCTCGTCGTCGTGAGGAGATTGGCTTGGGCAAGGAGAGACTCGTGCCCCTCATGTCTCATACATCCTGTATTTTGTGCCTATCAGTGGCTATCAGGCTTATGATGCGATTCCTCCTGTATTTTATGCCTATCAAGGTATGATATGATTCATTCTGCATTTATTATAATGGCCGTCAGGCTATGTATGCGATTTTCTGTGTGCACATACCGCATTACAATAAATCGTTTTTTTCCTTCAGCTGAATCAGCTGGCCAAAAATGATTTTATGAACAGGTTGAGCAGCGTGAGTCAACTTCGTGGACAGTACTGAAGGTTTGTGTTGACGGGTAGTGCTGCAGGTATGGACTGTATTTAATGTCAATTTTCATCTCCATTTTCATCTTTGTCCTGCAGTTAGACTGGCACCAATAGGACATCGACCACTAAAGTGCACTTGGATTTAGAGGGGCTGCACACTGGAGCACTAAAGAGTTTACACACGTTTGAGGAACCACAAAAGCAACGACGGGAAAACGAAGGATAGCAATAAAGAACGCATGTTGTGAGAAGGAGATGTTTTAACTGCGAACTTCGAATCATCGAACTTGGAACTAACAATTTTGATGTTCAATTCTGATTCGGGAGCTTGTCGGGTTTCAACTTTCTAAGTAAATACCCTACATTAGATTTTTTTTTTTTTTTTTTTTTTTTTTTTTAAATATTGACACCCCACCAGGTTGGTGGCAGAATTGTTTGTGCTTGCAAGCAATTAGAGGACACTGTTTGCGGTGCCTTCCCCCCCTTCTGCCTGTCCAGTGGCCTCGTGTTTCCCTCCTGCGCCTCGTCTTCTCCCTTTCGCTGTGATTGTCATTTTCGGAATCCTGAAAGTGGCGGTGCTGGTTGTTGTCGTTGTTGCTATTCGTAGGTGGTATTCACAGTAACACTATCTTAAATGTATCCCACACCTGGATGCATCTGGCCTGAAATTCCGTCCGGCAACAAGTAAAAAAGTGGTAGTGGCAGTATATGCCCCCTTATGGTGGCGGTGCTGCGACTGGTCGTTATCACCGTTTTTTTTTTGGCTGCCATTCCAAGGGTCAAGGTTGTTTGTTGATGTTGTCACTGCCGCGGCGAATGTGCAGTGAGACGTGTGTGGCATCGGAATTTGCAATTGCTGTACTGGTCGCCGGTGATGGTGTGCTTCCGTGCTGCTGAAGTCCCGGCGCACCTTCACTTTCGAAGTGGCCTGGAGAGCGCTGGATGGTTATCGTGGAGAAGGATGTACACATTTTGTCATTGCGGTCACTTACGTCCTTTGGCCTTGTACAGGTTCTGAAGTGGGAAAGATTACCTCCCCTCCACGAAGAAGCACGAAAATCATACGGAAACGCAGGTGATTAGTACTGATTACGGACGTCAGCGCTGCTGTTGGTGCTGTCATACCTGGTGCTGTGGTTGTCACTGTGCCATGGAGGCTCTCAGGAAAAGGAGCCCCCCGAGGAGGCAGATTTGTGCTGCGCGCCCTTGAAAACAAAGGAGTATGGTGCAAATTTTGCTCTTTTTGGCTGGCTGGCTGGCTGGTGTAGTCAGCTAGAGAGCTCCAGCTGGCCGGTCTCAGAACGCTGCGGCCCTGTTTAAGCCAGGCCGGAGATTTTTGTCTGCGACACGCGCTGGCGATGTTAATTTTTGAGGTTGCAACGTTGTCTATTTTCTTTAAAAGTTCAGCCCACGCAGTGCCCCCATTTTGACATAAGGTGCCCATCCCGAGTGCTAACAATGTGATTCCTGCAGATTCCCCGACAACATTGTCGGTACCTTACAGTTTTGCGGCAGCGATGCCACAAAACATTGACGTTAGATTTTCTTCGTTGCGTGCAACGGCGAGAAGCTGTCGATATAATCAGAGCGTAATGAAAGCCGGGACGAGAGGGAATAGTAGCTCGGGATGGTGGAGAGGGGAGAGACAACGAAGGTGTTGATGTCGTCACACCGTAATGATGGGAGAGAAGCAGAGAGGGAACAGCTTGGGAGGTGTGGAGAGGGGAGAGAAGCTGGGAGGTGTGGAGAGGGGAGAGAAGCTGGAGAAGTGCGGAAACTGGCAATTGTGTACAATGTTCTATTCATGATAGAAGTGGCACATATTTCTGTCAATTTGATACCTGCCCCTACTAGCAATTGTGGTCGCTTCAATTCCAGAAAAACATCCAGTCATATGCTAAATACAACTGCAGGCCTTGCTTCATGAAGGTATTATATCACTTCATCTGAACTGACGAGGGTTGATATGCCCTTTCCTTGCGTTGGAAGAAGAAAAGCATGCAAACCTGTTATTCGGCACATCCATCCAAACGGGAATGATACAGAGCTGGCGGGACACGAAGAATGAAAAAGAAGCAACCTATTTTATAGTGGACACAGAGATGTTTCTAGAAAAGTGCATGGTTGCCAGTGATGTCAACTTTAAAACCCCACTCCCTCCGACATTGAGAAATTGTGGGGGGGGACCGCTAGCACAGGTTTACTAGGGATAGCGGTAGCAAACCCCCACTCCCCTCCGACATTGAGAAATTGGGGGCGGACCTGTAGCACGAAACAAAAATTGATGATGTGTTGAAATACCTCGGCAATTTATTTCATGGTTTATTCAATTTTTCATTTTGTAAAAATATTTTTTCCGGGAAAGAGCAGGAGCAAATGTACCGGCTATTCAAATTTCAGTGTTTCAAGCTTTCTTTGGAGTGGGAAAAATCGCAGAAGTTGTAGACCTTTTCCCGTTGGCCTGCGCACGGCTCTGTTGCAAACTGGAACATGCAAAACCAATCGCCACGAGGATTGTTTGGCGATTGTGTCACGGTTATTAAAACGATTTTGTTAGATTTTTCTGATATTTGTCCTGGGAAGATCACAACCGATGCTCCAATGTTCAGTATTTTCTATGAATGCTTCTGGCTGTGAAAAATACCCGAAGTTGCCACTTTCAAAATTCGGGGCTACCTAAATTTTGGGGCTACCTAAAGTTCGGTAGGCCTGCCGTTTCCGCCTACAGTCACTCCCCGCCCTCAAAACCCGCCCGGCCTCACACGGAGGGGTATGTCCTGCTGGTGGAGGGAGGGGTGTGGCTTAAACCAGCAGTTCCTCCCAAGGCGCTTTTTCCCAACATAGATTGTTCCTGCGCAAGCAAAAGAATACAACTTGATGTCAGTATATGACAAACTTTCGCTGTCGGGTATACTGGTGCAGTTGTGGTAATATGATGGGCTGCATTGGAATACCAAATCGTCTGGCGGCGGTTTAAATTTTGAAGCCCATATCCACCTGCATCTGTTCAAATGTGTAGTGGCGCTTTTATTGGTGAGGTGTGTTTTATTTGAATCTGGTGAGGTGTCGGGGGGTCAAATAAAACCTCTTCCTGCCAGTCATCTATCTACACTGACTTTTTCCTCTCCTCCATCTCTGCCTACGGTTTACCGGGCAGCTCTGTTTGACGATATATTAATAAATTATATTATTGAATTTTATATATATATATATATATATACAGGGTCACCACCCGGTACGTACGGGCGTTCGGGATCCCGTACAGGTTCCGAACCCGGCGGCGTTTGGCCCCCGCCAAAAAGATTTTCGGGGCCTAAAAATATTTTAGTTTTTTCTGAATTTGTTTTTGGGAGTTATTTATGACGTTAGGGAGGTGAGTGGGTTTATTAAGGACGCCCGGAATGTGATGAATGGGGGAGGTGAACGATTGTTTGAAAGTAATGGGGCTGAAGTCGTTGGTTAGCTTGCGGGAGATCGAGGAATGTGTTGATGCAAGGAATGTGAAAGGAAAGGATCATAGGAAGATGTTAGTTGAAGCAAAGAAGTATCATGGAATGGTTTGCTGCGCTGTCGATCGAAATCCGGCAGAAACAGTGGTCATGTGTCCGATGGTGTACGCGATGGGCATGAAAGGAACTTTCTGGGGGAATGAAAGCTTTGTGGTAGTATGGGAGGAGGAAGCTGAGCTTCTCGCAAGGTGTGAGGAAGAGTACATATCGCTGGGGCTTGAAGCACTGGGAAAATGGGACAGGAAGGGGAGATGTGGCTGTGCCTACATTTTGCCCAAGCATAAGGACATCTGCAGGTTCAGACCGATCAGTCCATCATTCACCGAGCCGACCAAAACGGCGGGAGGGAGGGTAGCCAGGGCATTGAATCACCTGCTCTTTGTCCTCCTGAAGGCCATGCATTTTAGCGTCAAGTCCACTAGCCTCCTGAAGGATAGAATAGAGGAGGTGAATAAATGGGTGGATTGGTATTAAGGGGAAGGCGAACTGAGGGGAGCGGCGTATGATATTAAGGAAATGTTCAGCCAGCTACCTCACAACTCCATCATGCTAGCAGTGGATTGGTTGCTCGACTGGTACAGGCAGAAAGGCAAGACGATGGTAAGCATTCGCAGAAGAGGAAAAGGCGCAGCTTTTGCGAGGAAGACTGGTAATGAGTTTTGGTTGGAAGTAAGCTTTGGGTTGATTCGGAGAATGGTGAGATTCGAGTTGGAGCACACGTACGTCGAGGCGGCAGGGAGGCTGATTCAACAACAGGTGGGGATTCCGATGGGGAAGAGCAGCAGGCCCCCACTGGCGTGTATTCTGTGCGCCATGAATGAGTGCAATTTTATATCGAGCCTGGGTGCTGATCGTCGTCTCGTGAAAGGAATAAGACTGATTGATGACGTGACCGTTCTCATTTGGTGCCCAATGAGAAACGGGGAGAACCGATGGAAGAGAATTGTGGAGAGTTTCGAGAAGGCGTATGATGAACGGGTTTCATTAAAACGGACGGACCAAGGGGAGGGCACGTGGGATTTTTTGGGGACACGTATGGAGATCCATCAGAATGAGGTATCATGCCAGATTTTCCCGAAGAATTTTGAGCAGGTGTGGGGGGAGGACGAGGATTTTTCTTACCGTATGTTTCAGGATTTTGATTTTTTCTCTACGCTGAGGCAGAAAAAAGCGGTGATCACGTGTACGTTGCACTGTATACAGCGGATGTCGTCATCTGACGAGCTCGTCGGCCTGGGGCTGCGCACTGTCAAGAGGCAACTTCGGCTACAAGGCTACCCTGGGTGGATGTTTAATGACTGTTTGAGTAAGTTCGTACGACACCGCGTCCCGGCGTGGGGGAAATGGAATCGGAGACTGGGGAGTTGGGAGTAAGGGGCCGGGGGGCGGGATTATTTAATGGTTGTTAATCTACTTTCTTGCTCCTTAAATTTTTTTTGAGATCTCCCATTCGTAAAATGGGGGGATTATGGTTACCCTTTAAAGAGTTGGTGGGGTCTTGAGGGATATTATCACTTTATCGATACAGTTTATGGGGGGGAGTAATGAGTACACTCTTTGTTTAATAATGACGTCATTGGGAGAGCTCTCGTTTCCGGAAAGTTCGGACAGGAAGGGAGACCGGATGAGAGCGCGGGGAAAAAGGTTTTGTCGAACTCCGGAAACTTCGGACGGGAAAGCGGCCGCAAAAAAGTGCTGGCTTGGGAAGGGCGTGGGTGGTACCTGAGGAAGGGGTACCTGAACTTACCGCAGGAATTTCACACGATTTCCGACCAGATATGGGCAGGGGAAATGCTGGTGCCAGGGGTGGGTACTGGGCCTGCCCGAGAATCGGGCGGGAGAGCTTGCAGAAGGGACTGA